GAGCGGAATAGGCGTCTCCAAATGGCGGACACTGTCTCGAAGCATCGAGCTGAGTTTGCCTTTGTTCAGCTTGATAATGAGAGAGCTCTGACGTCTCTGCGTGACGAGCTAAGGGTAGCTCGTGGGATTGTTGATCGGTCTCGGGCTGAGATAAATGCTCTTCAGACCCTTGTTGATATCCACCATCAGGAGCACAAGGCCCTCTGTGAGATGCTTGAGCGCAAGGGCGTTCCTCAATGAAAAAAATAGCGTGCTGATGGTACGACTTAAGCCGACCAACGTAAATTATGGGATGCGTTCGCATCTTACGTGGTAACTCGATCGTGTATGCATTTCCTAGGCGGTGCAATACACGAAATGGACCGATGTGCTTGGGTATAAGTTTACTGCTACCCAAGTTAGTCACTACTTGCTTTGGTAGATTAACCGTAGACAGTAGGACTAAGTCACCTTTATTAAATAAAAGAGTGTTTGCCCTTCCATTCTTGTCAGCGTTTTGCTTTTGCTTATCCACCGCTTCGGCGATGGAGTCTTGCACAAAACGGACTACCGTTTCACGAGCCAGTATGAACTCATCTGATGACACGTTAGCTTCAGTGCGCTGTGAGCGCACTGCAGCAACATCAACCGTTTCTTCAGTGAGGGCTTCCTCGCTCTCACTGGCATCATCTTCTTCGATATCGATGTTGTCGATATCGGCTTCAAACGCAATGACCTCTTCGTCAGAGCGTGATGAGCGTGAGCCAAATCGGTTTTTGCTCGCGTTAGTCCCTCCCCCCCTTAAACCAGAGTTACACTCTAGTAAGATGGGTACACGCGGATGGCGCAAGCCATTCACGTAAAACGGTGTATGGGTCGTGGACGCATGTACCGAGTTGTTAATGGCAAACTCAAACATTGGCAAAAACTCGCTCCAACTCTTAAAGGAGTGTACGCATCCTCGAAGTATCTCTTCGAGGACACGACTGCCACGTTCCGTCTGACCATCTGAACCTGGATGATCAGATGTAGACATCTTCAAGCGCGTTCCGAGTGATTTGAACACGGAACGCCAGAAATCAGCAGTGAATCGTGGATCTCTGTCTGATACGAGTTTACGGGGCAACCCATGAAGTCGGAAGATGGTGTCAATAAAGACACACGCACATCCACTTGCCGTGATTGACTCTGGTACAGCCACTAGGTGTACCATTTTGCTGAATCTGTCAACAAATACGAGAATACCCGTATTCCCGCGTGCGTCTTTGGGTAACCCAAAGACAAAATCCATTGAGATGGATTCCCAGCACTCAGCCGGAACCGGTAGAGGCTGTAAAGGTGCACGCAGTGAAGGACTTGACTTCACTTGTTGACAGACTTCGCATGCGCGAACATACTTTCGCACAAACAGATACTAGCGGGGCCAGTAAAAGTCTCGACTCACCGTGAGATGTGTTTTCTCCCGACCACGATGTCCTCCTATAGGAGCATCGTGATGCTCGAACATGATCCGCGAACGCAGATCATTATCATCTGGAATGACAACACGTGGTGTGTCACCAGAAACGGCTGTATAATACAGTAAACTGTTACGAGTAGTGTATCGATCTGATGCAGATCGATACGCAGACGACAATCGTTTCAACGATTCTCGAGATGGCTGTGAGAGATGTGTCAACAACTTCACAATCTCATCATTTTGGGCATATGCCCGCCTCACATCATCATGTAACGTTGAAGATTGTATTGTGGACGTCATAACCGCAACAGTGACTGTCTCACTGTTGGGTTTCACCACTGTTCAAAGTCGGGACGACGTGAGAGTGCATCAGCGACGACATTAAGTCGTCCTGGTTTGTACTCGACCGTAAACTTGTATTCCGCAAAGAATGACAACCACCGCGCCATTCGTTGTGAAAGGTGTGGGTTGTTCACTGCCGTGCGTAATGACGCATGGTCAGTGTAAACAATGAAGGGTCTATCTCCTAATAGATAGACTCTGAACTTCGCGAGTGCATACTTCATGGCAAGGAGTTCCTTGTCATGCACTGGATAGTTCCGCTCAGCTGGTTGCAGCTGACGCGACTGATAGCAGACGACGCGTTCAACGCCTTCAAGGTCGTACTGCATTAATGCACAGCCGATTGTGAAATCGCTGGCATCACAGACCACATGAAATGGCCTGTCCTGATCGGCTATTGCTAGGACTAGGGATTGTATCAAGCTCTGCTTGATACCATCAAAGGAGCGCTGACATTCAGCGTTCCATAACCACCTCTCGTTCTTTTCAACAAACGAGAGAGGTGTACAGTCATATCGGCGTAATTGCGTGAATACTTATGCAAATACGCCGCTAGCCCAAGGAATTTTCGAAGACCTTTGACATCAACCGTCACAGGCCAGTCGGTGATCGCCTTGATCTTTTCGGGATCAGGACGTACACCGTTCTTACCAACGATGCACCCAAGAAGTGGTATTTCGCTTGCTGCAAATATGCACTTCTTGAGGTTTGCATACAATTGGTGCTTTCGCATGATTGTAAGAACCTGTCGGACGTGGTATCTGTGAATCTCAACGTCCGACTTTCCATCCATAGCCCGAATATGGATGAATACGTCATCGAAATAACTCGGTGCGAATTCTCGTACTGGTCTCAACAGATGTGTATCACATCTGTTGAACGTGGCAGGGGCATTACTAAGCCCTTGTGGCATTACTAGCCATTCCCAGATCATGCCGCTAGGCGTGCTCACTGCGATATAGGGTATGTCCCGTTCTCGCATAAGATTTGATAGAAGCCATCCATCAAATTTATTGACGAAAAGATGGTACTCTATGACATACCATCAATGATTACGTCTTTCCTTGGTATCGGCGTCTGAGCCGGTGCCGTTGCAGCATTCAACTTGTAAAATTCATGCACAATCCGCCACCCTCCTGTTGCTTTTCGCGCACAGAAGGTCGGAGAGATATGCGGGGAAGTCGATTCCCTCACATGGCCCGCAGCTAAACGATCGGCAAAGAACTTGTCGATCGCAAGTACTTGTTCACGAGGCAGTGGCCACTGCTTCATGACACAGTACTTCGAGCCTGGTTTAAGCTCGACCTCGTGTCGAATACCTTTATCCTTCGGTAATTCGCACGGAACAGTTTCAAGGAATACATCCTTGAATTCAACCAAATCTTCATAGAGAGGATTTGTCTTGAGCGATTACCACGATTGGGAGTCATATCGCTCAACTCGTGTCTTTTCATCTAGGACACTCTCGTCCATCGTTGAACTACTGATACCCTCTCGTTCTCAGTAAACACTGTTGCTGACCTTCTTTCGGTTACACACTCGTCGTCAGCGACGAGTACGCAGATCTGCTTGACTTTGCCACTACGCAGATCACGCAAGAACCTTTCATGTTCGAGCGTTGGCAACTGAGTGATCTCCGAAGTCAACTTCGGAGGCGCAATCAGATCAAGTGTGTAAGTGCCTACACTTGATCCATCATTGACTATAACATTCAGTGTCTCTGTCATTTCCTGGGGACTCATTCCCTCAGGCCTCGAAGGAATTATTCCTTCGGCTTTCCGAGGTCTTATTCCCGCGGGTTTCGGGGAACTAATTTCCACCGTATTTGTAATATCGGGACTTATTCCTTTAACTTCCTCTAGCTGTGGTTGCGCAACCACAGCGAGATCCTCTACGAAAGACTCTCCAGTCGATCTAGGATTATCGTTTTGCTTAACCTGAGCGATCGATTGTTTCTCTTCTAGATGTTCCCCGCTAGGGATACATCTTTGTCCCGGTCCACTCGACTTATTCGAGTGGTGGACCTTCGGCGCAGCTTGTGTTTCCTCACAGCCTCCGGAACTTTGCTCCGAAGTGTAACGGTTTGTTACACTAAGGTTTTGTGCAGTCGTACTAACGACCGTACCACAATTGAGGCCATCGCACTCACTCGTAGTACATCCACACGCTTGTGGACGCTCCAAAACGTTCATCAGATGGCCATCTGATGAACAAGCGGCAGGCATCGTTACTGTTCGATGTTGCCAGTTTACTCGTGGTTCGTACCTTCTGAGCCACGGTATTCCAAGGATGACATCAAATTTGTCATCCAAATCCAATACGATAAAGTCATCGTCATATTGGGTATCTTCTAGCGTATAGTGGATCTTCACTATACGCTTCATGACGGTTACGGATGCGCCTGTCGCAAGACGTACCTTCATCCTCGTAGGAGGTGTGTCACATTCACTGAACTTAAAATGACTAACTTCTAGCGATTGGCGTCGCACAAAATTGTTGGACGCCCCACAATCGACTTGAGCTCGAAGGGACAACTCCTTTGTCACTTCGAGTTTCAAGGTAATGAGTGAGATCTCATTACCTAGAGCAGCAACGCACAACGTTTGTGTGTTGGGAGCAACCTTCATCAAGAGGCCTACAAATTCTCTTGACGTTGCTGGACCAGTAGGGTGCTCCGCACCTACTGATCCTGTCCGTTTTTTGACGGTCCATCCCGTTGTTGCGTCTTTGCACCAACAGCGGACCCGCGTCCCTGCCCCTTTCTCATGGGTGGACGGTCACTACGCCCAGTGTTGCGAGACACTGGACGAGGGGCACTATACTCGTAAACGTAGTGTCCTGTCTTTTGACATCTGTCGCATTTACGCAACTTCTTGTAGCCTGTAGAGCGAGCCTTCTTGCTCTCTACATAACAGAGTTCCATCGGCTCTGAACCTCCGCTGTCATATCGTCTCGGCTGACGATATGATGTCGAGCTGGCGCGAGCCTGTCTCAGACTGAAGTCTTCCTGCTCTGCAATGGAAATAGCTTGTTCTAGTGAATCTAGTTCAAGACGGAACAGGTGAGTCCTGACGGGACCACCCGCAAGACCCTGCATGAACACCGAAACCAACGTGTGTTCATCCACCGGATTGGAACTTATACAACTCGTGAGATGTCGTATATGTTGAGCGTAAGCGTGCACATCACGCTTACCCTGCTTGAGCTTCAAGAGTTCGGTTCAAGCTTTGAACTCAGCTCTAGGCGGTTCAAACGTTTGTCTGATCCGCGACTTGAAGACTTCTAACGACCCAAACGCATATGGGTCGTGCAACTTGAGTCCCAGTGCCCAAGTCTTGGCACGTTCTGCCAGAATTGACTGGTCAAATGCAACTTGCATATCCCCGTCGTCGATGCGACGCGCCCTTATCGCGTCATCCAATTCGACGAACCATCTCAAGAGGGAGTCCTCTTCGACTCCCCTATACTTGGAGATGTCAATCTTCAAGGTTTCGGGTCGTCGCGAGTGCATCGACCCACCAGCAGCAGCCTGCTGCTGTCTCAACAGTTCAAACTGTTGAGCACCCTGTTCTATCAACAACTCTGCTTGCTGAGAACCTTGTTGGTGAAGCAAGGCTACTTTCTCGCGTTCTGCGTCAAGTTCATTTTGAATGAACTTGGCGATAGTAGCATGTTGGGCATCTCTATTGAGAGCCTCTAGCATGACGCTAACAGCATGGATGCCCATGGTCGAACCCATCCGTTCAACCGCATCTCATTCGAAATCGCTCAAATGGGAGTAGCCGTCACGCGTACCGTGAAAGCTTTGGTCATCTTCATCATCCAACATATTCATGTTGGATGTGAACGTGGTCCTTGGACGGACTACGAAGTGCTACCAGGTGTAACGGGGCACCCTGAAGCTTGTACTGGTGACAATACAAGCTACTTATTCTGATGACAGAATGAGGCGGTGCCTCGTAACTTCACGTACACTCGTACGTGCAGAGGAAGACGGTAAGAAGAAGCGAGTACTTGGTTAAAGTAAAAAATAGAACTGTATTTAGCATAGTTAATGTCTGCAATAAATCACTATTTATCCTCATCTAACTATGTCTAAATACAAATGTGTCAATCAAATATCTGCTCTCACCACTCATTGCGTGCGTCTGTCGTGGCGCGTGTTCGTTGGTTGATATAATGGCCTATATCAACCAATTAGGAACTATTCGTAGGTGCTACAGAATATTTGTCCTTATGACAATAATCTGAGAATAAAACTCTTATAGTTATATTCTATTAGCAATTTCTAATAAATTGTTATGTAGCGATTCACCCCGTTACATCACCCCCCCTAACTATCATTCACTTTAGTGACTGATTGACTAAATGGATACTCGTCCCAAATCATTTGGGACGGGGTTTGCACTTGTTGGTCCGAGTCCACTTTCCAACATTTCATCGCATGGTTAACACGACCATGCGGTGCGCGAGCAAGGCCGCCGAGAGCGCATCCGCACGTCTCTGTGCGGACGCCGAAGCAGAAACCACAGCAACTGATGTCTCATCGGTTGCTGGAGCGACTCAACCTGTGTCACTTGGTGATGCAGGCCCTGGTCATGAAGACACTCATGTCTTCACAGAGTATGAGCTCGGTGTCTCATACTCTCCTGATACGGAAGACGGATCCGTATCAACGGCGATCGAAACCAAGCCGCCTGCCAAGCGTGGCATGAATGATGCTTTGCGTCGTAGCATCTTTGGTTCATCCGATGAATCAGATGAACCATCGCCGAAGCGAAGGCGCTCGATGTCGCGAGACTCGGGCGCTAAAAGTGGTGTCGGTTCTCCTATGGACACCACTACGCAACGAGGTGCCAGTCCTTCTGTCGGCACATCGCAGGAAGAGCGGGACCGCAATGTCTTGCGTCTCGCTCCCGAGAAGAAGTCGTGGATGCCTCCTAAATCTGTCATGGATCACTTGTCGGTGACGACGAGTGATCGTTATCGAACACGGTTGTTTGATTCGTCAAGGATCTATCACCTTGACCTCAGCGCGAAAAAATATCGCGCTGAGAATGATTTCTTCATCGATGCTTTCTTTAAACATCGATGGTACAGTGGGAATCACAAACGTGGTGGTCCCTCACTGCTTCAAGCGTGGAACGCTTACATCCATAACCTTGAGGATGTAGGTCGTGACGTTTGGAACGACAAACTTATCAAAGCTCGTGATAAGTTTGAAAAGCGAACCCCGACATGTGCACGCTACAAGCTGCATCGTCTGTCTAGGGAGAAAGGATTACCCTGCCTCTCATGGGGAGACTCGTGCCCATGTTGTGTGAACAACTCTGCACGAGCACCTAAGGAGGCTTACCTCCTTACCAGCCCGTGGTGGCGCGTACGTATCTCTACTGAGATGTACGAAGGGATTGACAACTTGAAATCCCTTTACGACCGTGCCGGGAAGACTTTCTCTGGCGGTCCTTCTGCGGCACAAGATGTGCCGCGTCGTAATGCTCAACCAGACCCAGTACGTCGATCATCAGTTGGGAGCGGGGCTCCCAAGAATCCCAGGACGGAGGATAGCCGCGTCACCGGACGAGATAACTCGTCCGACGTCCGTTCACGTCGCGGTGGTTCAACAGCTTCTCAACTAGATAGCGCTGGCCACCGCGAGAGTCCTCTAATGGAGGTGGAGGAGGAGGGAAGACGCTCTCCACACGATCATGGGGATCCGTGTGTTCCCGAGAGCTTCTCTGATCGCGTAACGCAAGGGTTACGCGGCGATCTCGAACATGAGCGGAATAGGCGTCTCCAAATGGCGGACACTGTCTCGAAGCATCGAGCTGAGTTTGCCTTTGTTCAGCTTGATAATGAGAGAGCTCTGACGTCTCTGCGTGACGAGCTAAGGGTAGCTCGTGGGATTGTTGATCGGTCTCGGGCTGAGATAAATGCTCTTCAGACCCTTGTTGATATCCACCATCAGGAGCACAAGGCCCTCTGTGAGATGCTTGAGCGCAAGGGCGTTCCTCAATGAAAAAAATAGCGTGCTGATGGTACGACTTAAGCCGACCAACGTAAATTATGGGATGCGTTCGCATCTTACGTGGTAACTCGATCGTGTATGCATTTCCTAGGCGGTGCAATACACGAAATGGACCGATGTGCTTGGGTATAAGTTTACTGCTACCCAAGTTAGTCACTACTTGCTTTGGTAGATTAACCGTAGACAGTAGGACTAAGTCACCTTTATTAAATAAAAGAGTGTTTGCCCTTCCATTCTTGTCAGCGTTTTGCTTTTGCTTATCCACCGCTTCGGCGATGGAGTCTTGCACAAAACGGACTACCGTTTCACGAGCCAGTATGAACTCATCTGATGACTCGTTAGCTTCAGTGCGCTGTGAGCGCACTGCAGCAACATCAACCGTTTCTTCAGTGAGAGCTTCCTCGCTCTCACTGGCATCATCTTCTTCGATATCGATGTTATCGATATCGGCTTCAAACGCAATGACCTCTTCGTCAGAGCGTGATGAGCGTGAGCCAAATCGGTTTTTGCTCGCGTTAGTCCCTCCCCCCCTTAAACCAGAGTTACACTCTAGTAAGATGGGTACACGCGGATGGCGCAAGCCATTCACGTAAAACGGTGTATGGGTCGTGGACGCATGTACCGAGTTGTTAATGGCAAACTCTAACATTGGCAAAAACTCACTCCAACTCTTAAAGGAGTGTACGCATCCTCGAAGTATCTCTTCGAGGACACGACTGCCACGTTCCGTCTGACCATCTGAACCTGGATGATCAGATGTAGACATCTTCAAGCGCGTTCCGAGTGATTTGAACACGGAACGCCAGAAATCAGCAGTGAATCGTGGATCTCTGTCTGATACGAGTTTACGGGGCAACCCATGAAGTCGGAAGATGGTGTCAATAAAGACACACGCACATCCACTTGCCGTGATTGACTCTGGTACAGCCACTAGGTGTACCATTTTGCTGAATCTGTCAACAAATACGAGAATACCCGTATTCCCGCGTGCGTCTTTGGGTAACCCGAAGACAAAATCCATTGAGATGGATTCCCAGCACTCAGCCGGAACCGGTAGAGGCTGTAAAGGTGCACGCAGTGAAGGACTTGACTTCACTTGTTGACAGACTTCGCATGCGCGAACATACTTTCGCACAAACAGATACTAGCGGGGCCAGTAAAAGTCTCGACTCACCGTGAGATGTGTTTTCTCCCGACCACGATGTCCTCCTATAGGAGCATCGTGATGCTCGAACATGATCCGCGAACGCAGATCATTATCATCTGGAATGACAACACGTGGTGTGTCACCAGAAACGGCTGTATAATACAGTAAACTGTTACGAGTAGTGTATCGATCTGATGCAGATCGATACGCAGACGACAATCGTTTCAACGATTCTCGAGATGGCTGTGAGAGATGTGTCAACAACTTCACAATCTCATCATTTTGGGCATATGCCCGCCTCACATCATCATGTAACGTTGAAGATTGTATTGTGGACGTCATAACCGCAACAGTGACTGTCTCACTGTTGGGTTTCACCACTGTTCAAAGTCGGGACGACGTGAGAGTGCATCAGCGACGACATTAAGTCGTCCTGGTTTGTACTCGACCGTAAACTTGTATTCCGCAAAGAATGACAACCACCGCGCCATTCGTTGTGAAAGGTGCGGGTTGTTCACTGCCGTGCGTAATGACGCATGGTCAGTGTAAACAATGAAGGGTCTATCTCCTAATAGATAGACTCTGAACTTCGCGAGTGCATACTTCATGGCAAGGAGTTCCTTGTCATGCACTGGATAGTTCCGCTCAGCTGGTTGCAGCTGACGCGACTGATAGCAGACGACGCGTTCAACGCCTTCAAGGTCGTACTGCATTAATGCACAGCCGATTGCGAAATCGCTGGCATCACAGACCACATGAAATGGCCTGTCCTGATCGGCTATTGCTAGGACTAGGGATTGTATCAAGCTCTGCTTGATACCATCAAAGGAGCGCTGACATTCAGCGTTCCATAACCACCTCTCGTTCTTTTCAACAAACGAGAGAGGTGTACAGTCATATCGGCGTAATTGCGTGAATACTTATGCAAATACGCCGCTAGCCCAAGGAATTTTCGAAGACCTTTGACATCAACCGTCACAGGCCAGTCGGTGATCGCCTTGATCTTTTCGGGATCAGGACGTACACCGTTCTTACCAACGATGCACCCAAGAAGTGGTATTTCGCTTGCTGCAAATATGCACTTCTTGAGGTTTGCATACAATTGGTGCTTTCGCATGATTGTAAGAACCTGTCGGACGTGGTATCTGTGAATCTCAACGTCCGACTTTCCATCCATAGCCCGAATATGGATGAATACGTCATCGAAATAACTCGGTGCGAATTCTCGTACTGGTCTCAACAGATGTGTATCACATCTGTTGAACGTGGCAGGGGCATTACTAAGCCCTTGTGGCATTACTAGCCATTCCCAGATCATGCCGCTAGGCGTGCTCACTGCGATATAGGGTATGTCCCGTTCTCGCATAAGATTTGATAGAAGCCATCCATCAAATTTATTGACGAAAAGATGGTACTCTATGACATACCATCAATGATTACGTCTTTCCTTGGTATCGGCGTCTGAGCCGGTGCCGTTGCAGCATTCAACTTGTAAAATTCATGCACAATCCGCCACCCTCCTGTTGCTTTTCGCGCACAGAAGGTCGGAGAG